TTTCATTATTACGTATTTTAATGTTCTGATATATTTCATTTCTCCATTACATATGTTTACTATATATATAAATAAGTACTGGGTTGGGAGGGAGCATCAGGGTATCATTTGACCTGGAACTGGACGATTGGAGTGGTATGACAACCGGAGTCTAGGAGGGAATAAACACTATCATTTTCTTTATCCTACCGATTCGATTGTGATGGTGTGAATTCTACTCCAACAGTTTCATGGAGATTGACGCGCCCTTCTTAACAAACCATCCTGTAGGAAGCTTAATAAGTATTGCGAATTGCGTTATTCGATTTGTTGGATCGTATCGTTGGAAGGAGATTCTTAAATTCCCGTGGATTTCGCGTAAGTGCCTCTGCTTACGGGTCCACCCCACCGGTTTTGGCCCTTCATACAGCGATATTGTGAATTCAGATCGGTAGCTTAAATTGATCTTGCTATTAAGTGGAGCTGCATACAAGACAAGATCTTCGAAGGGATGGTGGCTACCTTACATACATACATACAACTGTTTCCATCAACCCTGTCATCCAACGTTCGTGAAACAACCTCCTATGCAGCACACATGTTCTATAACAGTTTGTATAACATTTGTACGATTAAGTTTGGGTTGTATAGTAGTTTACTCAACATAATTCTATGAATTTGTGTTGCTTGGGGCTAAAGCGAGACCCACAATACTGCGCCACGGTCAGCGTTGACGAAGAGGTTCATCCATAAAATGACAGGTGTAACGCATGTCATGTTGCTTTTCCACCGATATCTCTACTTAGCGACTTCATATCGACGCTGCGTCAGTCCGTCAGTTGGGTTGTTTAGGGGTATTGAGGTAAATACGTATTCGTTGTTTGAATTAAAAATGAAACCGAAATCCAAAATTTTATCAATTTTGGTACACTGGAACTATTTTAAATAAGTACGACAACATTAGCAAAAATCACCATCTTAGCGCCCCTTGGTGGGACTTTGTATGGAATCGAGCTGTCAACGAATAGATTTAGTGTCAATGATCAAAAATTTAAATCTTGATTTAAAAATCGAGATGAATGTCTACGGGATCGATAAAAATATCGTTGTACTCAGAAAACAAAGCTCTATCAGATGATGTATAAAAATCAGTATATTTTTCGAAGTTAAACAACCCAATTTTGATCAGATTCAAATTCGACGCTGACGCTGACGCTGACGCAATATTGTGGGTACCGCTTAATTGTGCTGGAAACCGACACGTAACAGATGTTTCGTGATCAAATCATGAGCAAATTTTCAATACGTCGAATGTAACAAAGGTAAACAAAGTCGAGCTATCAGTGTCTATCGATGCTCCTGCTATTACACTATATACTGTCCGAATATAGGATCACATCCCATTTTTAAATTTATTTACCAGTCGAATTGCTTTTTGACGTAATCACCTTCCGATCAAAATAGTTTTCGATGTTACTTAAGTCATCCGATTTCTATGGAGATGCCGTTTGCCTTAAGTAACAGCACTGAGAAACCCGTAAAAAGTGTACTTTCGTCGTTTCGCTTTCTCATTATTAAAGTGAATAAATCGAACTGTTTGTTGCTAAGATGATTTCGGTGGTCCTAAAATGATGAATGGGCTGCACGTAAGGAGACGTAATTGATAATTCTCCCGAATATCCTGGTAAATACACTTTGACTTAAGTAACAATAGGGGCCACCAAACGACGTATAATAACTTTTGACTCAAAAACCAGTATTTCTTAGCATGAAAGCTAGCGATTTGCCTTTGTATGATTAAAACCCGGCTGAATATCTTAAACATTGCTATCACTATGAGATTATATGTGTTTAATTGGAAATAGGAATAACTTTTCGGTCATCAAAACAAAACTTTATTTTTCTCGGATCGCTGCGAATGTTACTTACGACATAATGAAAATTTGCTCTTGAAATGAGAGAATACAAGAATAGAAAAAGTTTCGTCGAGAGACTGCCTAGTATATCAGTCCAAGGTGACTACACACTTAGAAAAAGTTATGTAAATTTAGGCTGTGTTCCATTTGGTGAATTTTCACTTATATTTGACACTTCGAAAATAAATTAAGATGTTCGAAAATCCCTCTGTTGTTGATCTTCCTATTTTCGAGAAGGTGTTTGACAAAATTGATTCCTGGTCTGTCAGAAATAAATCTGGTATAATAGCAGGTTTATTTGAAAGTTTTCCATCTGTCAAATTTAAGTGAAAATTCACTTAGGCTGTGAACCATTTGCCGAGTTAAATTTAACTCGTGGTTAAAAGTGACATTTCGAAAGTTATTTCTTATGTTCGAAAATCCCCGTGCTATCGATCGACCGGGTTTCGAGTCACGGTCGTCCAAATTTAACTTCTTGTCTGTCAGAAGTAACCACGCTCGGATAGCAGGGTTAATCGATAACTTTTCATCTGTCAAATTTTAACCAAAAGTTAAAATAATCCACCAAATGGTTCAGAGCCTTAATGGAATGGAACACAGCCTTAGGTGCTCTGAGACTGACATATACGAGCGTAAATTTTGACATAAATTTGATTCATAACAGACGCGAAACATAGCTTAATAAAACGTACTTTTCGTTGAGCAACGAACTTTTCAGTCTCGGAGCACTTAATATTACATGAAATGTTTGTTTACGTCTCATCTTTTATGTCAAAGATGGATTCCGTCACGTGTAAAATTAGTTATTTCAAAGTGTGTAGGGTTCGGAGGTAGATCTTATAGAGTTTTTGATCTAATTTCCGTCCTACTAAGCTCAACCCGCGCTTTTTCTCTCTTTTCTGAACGAGTTTAAACAAAAAATTGAACATTTCTGTCAAAGATGACTTGCAAATTTATTCAACTTGCCATACGTACCGTTGGATTTGATAAAGAGTCACAAATTGTTGAGATATTGTCTAAAATCTAACACTGCTTCTTGATTCTAAATTCGTTCTACGAGTTTCAATTCCGTCCTAACGCATTGAAACATCATTAGATTTTCTTCGTCCTACGGATAAACGTAGAAAAAGGGGATTCGCTAGGAGCGCCTTTTTTTTGTTTTGAGAACAATGAGCGTAAATATTCATACAATGCGCTCTAACAGGATTTATGTTGTAGCTAATGAACTAACGCATCGGAACAAACCTATTATTGATTTGTGCACGGTGAAATCATTGATATTATTGATCTTTTCTGATCGATAGAACGGAAATGGGCGATTACGACGAAGTAGCGCTCTACCCTACCAGTACCGCATCAGGAAAAGGTGATCTACCAGCGTTACTGATTATGGGCACTTTTTTGAGAAACTACAAAATGAAAAGAATAGATAAAGGGGAAATTACTCTAATGTTGGCCTATGGATCTAAGATTGGGTATGGGCCCATCATTATCATTATCAATTTTATCTAGATGAACGCGTCATTGAGACGGTACTAATGGATACCTTTGGTGGCTATTAAAAATTTAGTCGATTGCTGAATTTATGTATTAGGGGCATTTAGGCCGACATCACATCCATGTCCCCTATATCTTACAAAGAATAAAATCTGAACTTCACTGGTGATGTAAACATAAAACTGAGTAAACTGAACTCGAATTTCAGTCAAATTCTGTGGCCGTGCACCATTTCGCCAGTATACTTTGTAACTAGTATAGTATACTTAAAGGAGGATACACGTTTAACACCACGGTGACACAAATGCTCACGCAACACCGAGCACAACACGTGTATCATGTAAAATCACGCTTGTAAAATTCTACAGCCAGAACGAGTAGAGTTCAAATGCTATGGTTAATTTTCACTTAAATTTGACAAATGGAAATTTTTCAAATAAACCTCCTATTCCAGCAGAATTATTTTTGACAGACAAGGAATCAATTTTGACAGAGGGATTTACGAACATCTTAATTCATTTTATAAGTGTCAAATCTAATTGAAAATTTTCCAAGTGGACCACAGCCTAACTCATGCAAATTTTTGTCGGTCCTATTTGCGGAATTGAATGAGGCAGTTTAAAAGTTATTATCTATGTTCGAAAATCCCAGTGCTGTCGATTGACCGATTTTCAAAGATCCGGTTGTCAAACCTAACTTTGTGTCTGTCAAAAATAACTACGTTCTGATAGCCGGTAGCCACCAATCGGTTCCTATGCATTAAATTTAATCCGGAAATTGGTTAACAGCCTTAGTCAAAAGCAATGCAAAACTGTTCGACGTATTTTACCAACGTGCAACATGGTTATGTAGTGCGACATGGAATGGAACTATGTATTTCCAAGTGCTATTTTCCATTGCACACCAGGCCAGCCGTAAATTTTAAATTATATTATATATTCTAGGTTTGGCTTTTGCATCTACACCCTACAGCTTAGTAACTCTATTTTAAGATCCTCAACAATTGTCTTATGCAGCTTGCTATAGCACCCTATATAGGAATATCTATAAAATAAGTAATTTTTATTCATTGCAATTAGCTTTCCCCAGCGGCGCCGGTGGTGTAGTGGTAAGCGTGATTATCTCTCACCCCAGCAGGCCTGGGTTCAATCCCAGTCGGCGCCGCCGGGATGTTCTGAGGCATAACATTTGTGATCAGCCGTTGGTCCCCGGTTCATGAGTTTATGGGTCGATAGGTACGGTCCAGGTGTGGGTAGCATTGGTGCTCTGCACGGAAAACGAGATCGACGAAAAACAAATCAAGGGAAAAAATAGCTTTCCTACAGATTTTCTAAGTAAATTTAAACCCAACAACAACAACAGCTCGCTTCCGAAAATCGACATACCAATGGCGAACAAAATTGACCAACCACTGTGTGCAGTCGCGGAAGCCGATTTGAAATGCAGTGCCCTAGCCGAAAAGTGAATTAATGTGCCGAAAATGCAAATCGGTCGCTCGAGTTGCACCGCGATGCGATTCGGTAGACTTTGTCTTGCCGTGTGACCGAGAGGCCTCAGCAGTCTTCCTGCAGTCCGTCTCAGTACAACGTCAGCGGTTGGTCTGTTGCATTCAGCAAAATATGATGGATTTGAAAGAGTTCGAAGCGTACCGGTCTCCACTGAAGGACTTTTATCGAGACAAGATTGTCTTCCTGACGGGTGGTACCGGGTTTTTGGGGAAGCTCTACATCGAGAAGCTCATACGGTAGGATGGAATGGTTTGAGATTTAGGTGAGCAATATAAGAGGTGTTGCATTTTAGGTGTGGCGTGTCGGAGATCTTACTGCTTTCGAGGGCAAAGCAGGGCAAGACTCCACTGGAGAGGCTGGCGACCATTCTTGGCTCCGAACCGGTCTTCACAAGGTATCAGGATGAACCGGAACTGTACCATCAGAAGCTCAAGATCATCGACGGGGATGTGAGCAAGCACCAGTTGGCGATCAGTAACGATGACATGTCCTACATCATCAACAGGGCGAATATCTTTCTGCATGCAGCAGCGGACGTAAGGTTCGATGAATCACTGAAGGAATCGGTTGAGACGAACGTTCGTGGAACTAGTGAGGTTTTGAAGATTGCGGAGCAAGCAAAGGCCCTGAATTTGTTCATCTACGTATCGACGGCTTTCTCCCACTGCTATCGGGAGAAGATTGAGGAAAAGTTCTACCCTGCGATGTACGATCCCTATAAGATGATTGAGTTGGTAGAGCAGGAGATGGACGGCGAGGGTTTCGAGGTGATTGCTCGGAAAATCATTGGAGAGTGGCCTAATACGTATGCGTTTACAAAGTCCCTGGCGGAGGAAATTGTTCGGCGATATGTCGATATGATGCCGATTGCGGTGATTCGACCTTCGATTGGTAAGTGTTTGATGATTGTTAATTGTTCCAACAGATTTAAAAGTTGGTAATTTTCCAGTGACTACAACAAACAGCGATCCAATCCCTGGCTGGACGGACAACCTCTACGGATTCAATGGGGTTGTCGTCGGCGCTGCCACGGGAGCTCTTCGGATCTTTCACATCAATAACGACTACCGAGCGGACATCATTCCAGCGGACATCGTCATCAACGGAACTTTGGCGGCTGGTTGGTACGCAACCAACCACCGCTCTGAAACCAACATCGTTAACTGCACCGTTGCGGACAATCCGCTTTCGTGGGGAATAATTCGACGCGAGCAGTTGAAGTGGGCGGACAAGATTCCCTTCAAGGGTGGCTTGTGGATTCCGACGTACAACACTACCAAGTACTATCTGGTTTCCGAGTTTCTGAAAATCTTCTACCACATCATTCCGGCAATCTTTTTCGATTTGGCGCTCAAGCTGAACAGCCAGAAGCCACGGGTTCTAAAGCTGTACAAGAAAGTACACAAGTTCTCGGAAGTGTTGCGCTTCTTCACCAACAACGAGTGGGACTTTCGGAACGAGCAGTTTCACAAGGTGATCAGCCACATGACCGATGACGATAGGAAGTTTTTCCCTTGCGAAGTTGACCAGATCGACTGGAAGGAGTTTCTGGCACAGAACGTCAAGGGACTGCGGATGTACGTCATGAAGGAGAAGTGGGACAACCTGGAGCAGGCCAAGAAGCTGTACCAGAGACGACGGCTGGCCCATATGGTGATTCTGGTTGGCTACTATCTGACGGTGGGCTATGTGGTGTACAAACTGTTGCAATTCACTGGTTTGATGGACGTCATTGAAGGATGGTTGACTGGACACCAATGACGGGCTGGAGGTACCGAGTGTTTCCTTTACTGAAATGTTTTTAATAAATTTTAAATAATTTTTCTTGATTATGGCGTTCACTAGAAAAAAAAGTATAGCCTAATGTCGTATAGTGTCCCATGTTATTTAAAATCGAACTCGTATTTCGTCTACTACTTGCAAACTTCATCAGTGCCAAGTACTCTACACCACTGAAGAATCCATCTTTTATCTACGAGTTATATACTAATCAATAGGTACTAAAAATCAGCAGGTATCCACTACCATGTTGCAATTTACCTATTTAGGCATGTTACACTGTGTTACACTCAAAGCTCTTCATAAAGGGATTCCGTTAAGTGGTTCGACAAATTTAAAGGATTGTTAAATTAATCAAAATTTTATTTTGAATTAGAATAAGCCATGGCTTTACACTACTACCGTGGGATTCTCCCCAGAAGAAATTAATTCTCTTCAGAATTCTTGTGAAAATATTCCTAAAATTGAAAGCCCAATATCTTGAAAATTCCTCCAAGTTGATAAGTTAAGCTATTGAAACCTCTGAAACTTCCCAGAACTTCCACGACCATTTCCAAACTCGTTCGGACAATACTGAATTCCTCCGAAGCTCCTTCAAAATGAATCATGAACAGTTCGGAAGATCGTTAATCGTCTCTAAAGCACACTCAGGATCATTAAACTTCGCTGAACCTCTCTGTAGTTCACCAAACCTACTAACAGTTCTCGGAGCTTCACTGTTTCTTCTATTCAGCACCTTTTTGGTGATCGTTGGGGTACTTCAAAGAAGTTTAGTAAACGTCATAGAAGTTTCCAGAATTTTTAAGAGGATCATCGAATCCTTGAGAGATTCAGAACAATTCAGTGAAGTTCAGCGAACTTCATTGTAGTCTAGGATAAGATGGGAAGCTCAGAAAGTCTATGGAACTTCAGTAGAACTTAAGAAAAACTTTAGAGCAACACAGAAAACTTCAATACAGACAGACAGACAGACAGACAGACAGACAGACAGACAGACAGACAGACAGACAGGGCTACAAATGGTGAATTGACAACCTGGGAAGAGCGTTTTTCCTATCTCTGGTCCTCACAAGTTCCTACCTCACACCTCCCCGTGGTGTAGCCTGGGCAATGTTGTCCTTCTGACAATAGCAAAGTGAGGGGGTGCGACGCGAACACTGGCGCGGTAACCATAACACGGCGATCGAGGAAATGCTTCGTCAACCCGCAGGAGTGCCAACCGGCACATTAGGATCGACGCCAGTAAGATCCTTATTATGGCATACTGGATACGGCATGGAACTATGGACACGACACGGTACAATGGATTGGATACCACGCTACAGGGCTGACAGTCGTGCTATTCTGCTCCCTAAGTAAAGAAGGGTGACACCTTCTTGAAATGGCGAGTGGGCTAATAGTGCGGCTGCCCCCGTCCCGGTAAAACCTTGGCAGGCCTCCGGATACGTTCAAAACTCGTCACCAATTGGTGATTGGTGAGTAGTAGGCTCAGATGTAACATTCCTGACTTACGCCGATCTGGCTCTGAACACGGCCCCCATGAAGGACCGTGTCAACCCTAGCATGGCCTCCCTGCTTGCATAGATAACCATGGGATCACGATAGGTGACTACATACAACGAGTGGAGATAGCGGCCCGGAGGGGGGACCCAACAGAATGGAGAAAAACGGAGAAAAAAACAAAAAAGAAGAAAATGAGAAAACCCAAAAAAATATGAAGGACGACGGCAAGACGCCAGAAATTGAAAACGGAGGAGCGAACGTGTTCGCAAGGAGCGGGATATTGCAGAGATCACCAGTGTTGAACCTGGAGGCAACAGCGAGTTCCAACAGCAGCAGTAAGCCCCAAGGTGAGCAGCAAGGACACCAAGGAGAGCTAGGTCTTATGCTAAGCCAGGTGTTCACACCGAAATCCAGCAGTAGCACACCCCAAGAAGGATTGCAGCTTGGGAAGACCAAATTGATGGAGGTCAGGAGGAGGATCAATGAACTCCATGACTTCATCAAGGATAAGAGCAACGTCCACAAGGCAATAAAGGAAATGGTGACGGGCATCAAATCCGCCATTATTGCTGCTGAACGTGAACAGGATGCGCTGAGGACGAGGTCCGTAACTGCCGAAAGGGCACTGATCGAGGCCAAGGAGAAAGCAGCAGCTGAAATACAGGAGACGCCAAAGGGACCTCGAAATCCACGCTCGGAGAAGAGGAAAAGGGAAACTCCAGGAGAGGAAGAGGAGTTGAAAAAAGTCAAGAACGACAAAGAAGACAACAAGGAGGAAGGCTGGCGTACCGTCGAGAAGCCAAAGGAGAAGTGGAAAAAACGGAAGGAAAAAGACATGAAGAAGAAAGCTGAACAGAAGAAGGTGATACCCAGGACTCGTCGGGAGCGAAGTAAGGGCGATGCTCTGATCGTCGAAGCTAAGGACAAAACGTCGTATGCAGCACTCCTCCGGAAGGTACGAGACGATCCGGAGTTGAAGCAACTAGGAGAGAACGTGGTGAAAACCAGGCGAACCCAGAAAGGCGAGATCCTCTTTGAGCTGAAGAAGGATCCTGCTATCAAGAGCTCAGCCTTCAAGGAGCTCGTCGAAAAGTCTCTTGGCGAAGGGGCGAGCGTAAGAGCTCTATCCCAGGAGACAGTGGTCGAGTGCAGGGACCTGGACGAGATCACCACAGAAGAGGAGCTAAGAAGTGCGTTGAGAGTGCACTGCGATCTGGGAGATGTCCCGATGTCAATCCGCATGAGGAAGGCGTACGGCGGCATGCAAACGGCGGTTATACGGCTTTCGACAGCTGCAGCGAATAAGCTGTTGGAGACGGGCAAGGTCAAGGTTGGCTGGTCATTGTGCTCGCTGAAAGCCACTCCTCGGGTTACCAAGCAATTGGAGCGATGCTTCAAGTGCATGGGATTCGGTCACCAGGCGAGGAACTGCAATGGCCCTGACAGATCTGATCTGTGCAGGAAATGCGGAGAGAAAGGCCATATTGCAAGAGGCTGCACGAAGCATCCGAGGTGTATGCTCTGCAAAAAAGAGGACGGTAACGATCATACGACGGGAGGCTTCAAATGCCTAGCATACAAAAAGGCGATGGCAGGCCAACAGTAATGGAGGTAACCCAAATAAACCTCAATCATTGCGACATTGCTCAGCAACTGTTGTGGCAGTCGACAACAGAAACAAAGTGCGACGTTGCAATCATTGCGGAACCGTATCGAGTCCCTCCCGATAACGGTAACTGGGTTGCGGATAGAGCTGGGATGGCAGCTATACAAGTTATGGGCAGATACCCCATTCAAGAAGTGGTTGCGAGCTCATACGAAGGCTTCGTCATCGCCAAAATCAACGGAATCTTCATGTGTAGTTGTTACGCACCCCCCAGATGGACGATTGAGAAGTTCTACGAGATGCTTGATGGACTTACCGAAGAGCTGGTCGGACGACGACCGGTAGTCATCGGAGGGGACTTCAATGCTTGGGCAGTGGAGTGGGGAAGCAGGTGTTCCAATGCAAGAGGGCACAGTCTGCTGGAAGCTCTGGCAAAACTGGAAGTTATGCTGGCCAATAAAGGCACCAGCAGCACTTTTCGCAGAGATGGCCGAGAATCCATTATCGACGTTACTTTCTGCAGTCCGTCGCTGATGGCAAACATGGATTGGAGAGTGTGCGAAGGATATACCCATAGCGACCATCAGGCGATACGATATGGCATCGGTCAACGGAATACTGTGGCAGTACGGAGGACGAGAACTTGTGACCGAAAGTGGAAGACGAAAGCTTTCGACAAGGATTTGTTCGTTGAGGCACTTCGTGTGGACGGGAGTCCCGTAGATCTAAATGCGGACGAGCTGACAGAAACGTTAGTGAGAGCATGTGACACGACCATGCCGAGGAAACTGGAGCCAAATAACAGACGGCGTCCAGTCTACTGGTGGAACGAGGCACTTAGTACTCTCCGCGCTAGATGTCTCAGAGCCAGAAGACGTGTTCAGAGAGCAAGAACGGAAGCAGACAGAGAGGAACGAAGAGAAGTGTTTCGAGCGGCCAGGGCCGCTTTTAAACGAGTGATTAAGCAGAGCAAGTCGAACTGTTTTAAGGAGCTGTGTCAAGACGCTGATGCCAACCCCTGGGGCGACGCATACCGAGTCGTGATGGCGAAGATCAGAGGTCCAACGATGCCCGCTGAAATGTGCCCAGAGAAGCTGAAAGTCATCGTGGAAGGACTTTTCCCGAAGCACGACCCAACAACCTGGCCACCTACACCGTACGGAGAAAGAGAGGGAGATAACGTCGAAATCACCAACGAGGAGCTCGTAGTAGTGGCGAAAGGATTGAAGGTGAAGAAAGCTCCCGGTCCGGATGGAATCCCCAACGTAGCGTTGAAAGCGGCGATCCAGTCATCCCCGGACATGTTCAGGATGGTGCTGCAGAAATGCCTGAACGAGGGTCACTTCCCTGACAGGTGGAAGATACAGAAGCTAGTGTTGCTGCCGAAACCAGGAAAACCACCGGGGGATCCAGCATCATACAGGCCTATATGCCTGCTGGATACACTCGGAAAACTCTTGGAGAGGATCATCCTAAACAGGCTGACGAAATACACGGAGACTGAGCACGGATTGTCGGAGAGGCAGTTCGGATTCCGGAAAGGGAGATCGACGGTGGATGCAATTCGGACAGTGGTCGAGAGAGCTGAAAAGGCGTCCAAACAGAAGCGGAGAGGAGATCGATATTGCGCCGTCATAACGATCGACGTCAAGAATGCGTTCAACAGCGCCAGCTGGGAGGCCATCGCCGAAGCACTGCATAGAATGAGGGTCCCTGACTACCTGTGCAGGGTCCTGAGAAGTTATTTCCAGAACCGGGTTCTGGTCTACGAGACAGACATGGGACAGAGATCGATTAGGATCACAGCGGGAGTTCCACAAGGCTCCATCCTTGGTCCAACGCTCTGGAACGGGATGTACAACGGCGTGCTAACGCTGAAACTGCCCAAAGGAGTTGAGATCGT